CTAGTGGTGTTCTGATTTCCAGTAGTCTCTGTTTTCCATCATTAGGCACTTATATAACTTTGCCAATCTGGCCCAGTCTGTTATAATACTGTTTTACCTCTCCTGGTTGCTGTGGCTTTGTGTGCAAGGAAATGTTTTGAGTAAAGTTAATTAGGGTGGTGACTGAAGTGTAGTGTGTGTGGCTGTATTTTAGTTGCTATACGTACTTCAAAATTACTTCACGTTCTTTGAGCCTAAAGCTTTTTACTCTAAGGCAGCCAAACACATCTCCTGTTAAAAATGGTTGGATGTACAAGGTGCAGTTGTTATCTCACTCCTCTTTGTTCTCTCTGCTTTCTTGAGAGAAGATGAAACAAAATGCAGTGACAGGTAAGGATGTCTCACAAAACATGTAGGAGAAATGTAGCTTCCCATTCCATAAATTACTGGTACTCTGCTCACCAGCTGCCTGTTATGATGTTTTATTGATGAATAAAAATGGTGTCTGAGGCAATAGAATGCCTTGCATCTTACAATACTGCCAGTTATAAAGATGTCTTCTTGAATAAATTTCACAATTAGAAAGTATTGACAAAAATATTCAATCTTTTTTACATCAAAATAAGCTCAAACATCTGCTGCCAAAGTCAGACAATATCAAGTAATCTTTTAAGAGTATACTTTTATTATACTGACAGATGCATGGCTGCATGACATAGATGTCAATTTAAGTTACTAGTGCCATTAATACTTGACAAAGACATGCTCCCAGAAGAATTTACGTTTTTAAAATGTTGTCAGATGAGTATATGCCAACAAGAAGTACCCAGAGTTATTCAGCTATGTTGTTAACAAAGCTAAAAGTGTGTTATCTCCAGAGACATCACAAAAATTGCTATTCACATCTTCCCTATTCTCTACATTCCACAGAACTGACAGCAGAAAAACTACTTCTGTGCCTGCAAATGTCTGTTTAACTAACCCATACACATATCCATCTTCACTTTTTGGTTATCAGCACAGAAAGATTTTCAGTTTCATTTGAGGTGAACTTCTTCATCATTTGTTTGCTCTCCACTAAATTTCAAATAACCTCAGTTTTGGGCAAAGAACGCTGTTGTAAAGAGAACAGTGAGGAAAATGTTAATACCTGTGCCAGAGTTTCTGGTCTGCTTATTCAGTCAAAAAAGTGTATGTGTATGATGTAACTCATTAAGAAGGCTGAGATTTACAACCATTTATGTCCAGTTCTTCTTTGTCAAATACACTGGTGTATTCATTATTAAAATTGGTGCACTTTAGTAACTTGAGTTTTCATTGTGGGTATTCCATAATGAGCAACTAAGATTACTTCTTTCCTTCCAGGTTCTTTTTTTTTTTTCTTTTCTTTTCTTTTCTTTTCTTTTCTTTTCTTTTCTTTTCTTTTCTTTTCTTTTCTTTTCTTTTCTTTTCTTTTCTTTTC